CTCTCCTGGGCCAGTCTCACTAATTTTGACATACCAACCCCCTTTGCCCCAGTTACTATATCAATACATCTCATCCAGGGTCTCCCTCTCCTGCGCTGTCCATCCACCCTTCCAAGCATGTTCTTCTCCAAGGACTGATCTCTCCTGGTCACATGCCCAAAGTAAGTGAGGCAGAGCTTCAAAATCCTAGCCTCTAAGGAGAGACTTGGTTTCACCCTCTCCAAGATAGACCTATTTGTTTTCTTGGCAGTCCGTTGTATGTTCAAGACTCTTCTCCAGCACCACAACTTGAAAACATCTATTCTGTCATCCTTAGTCATTGTCCAACTCTCTGAAGCATAACAAGTAATTGAGAAGACCATGGCCTGGATTAGGCATGCCTTTGTATCTAGACTGACATCGTTGCTCTTCAGCACTCTGGAGAGGTACATGACAGCAAACTTTCCCAATGCATTCCGTCTTTTGATTTCCTGACTGCTGGTATTAAGGATGTTGATTGTGGATCTTAACAAGTTGTAATTGCTAAAACCTCAGTCTTTTCTCAGTCTATTATGGCACTGCCTGTTGGCCCAGTGGTGAGAATCTTTGTCTTGATTTTGAGCTTCAGTCCATATTGAAGACTGCAGTCCTTGACCTTTTGCAGTAAGTGCTTCAGGTCTTCTTCAGTTTCATCAAGCAAGGTTGTGTCATCTGCATAGGGTAGGTTGTTAATGAGTCTCTCTCCAATCTTGATGCCACACTCCTACTCATAAAGCCCTGCTTTCCAAATGATCTGTTCTGTATACAGATTGAAAAGATACAAGGGCAAGATGCATCCCTGATGCACTCCTTTCTTGATTTTGAACCATGCAGTGTTTCCTTGCTCTGTTCTGAGGACTGCTTCTTGGTCCAGGTATAGGTTTTGTATAAGCACCATCAAGTGTTCTGGGATTCCCATTCTTCTCAGAGTCAGCCACAGTTTATGGTGATCCACACAGTCAAATGCCTTTTCATAGTCAAATAAAACACAGATAAGCATTCTTCTAGTACTCTCTGCTTTCTGCCAAGATCCATATGACATTGGCAATAATATCAGACACTAGCAAAATCCTGCTGAAGAATATCCAGAAATGACAGTACACTGACAGAGAACTACCAGAAATACAGGCTGGGTTAGAAGAGGTCATGGCAATAGGGACTTACTTATCTGTTCTGCTGTAACAAATTCCACACTTGGGTGGTTTAACCCAGTAGATACTTACTCTCTTCCAGTTTTGGGGGGTCCAGAAGATACACTCTACTCCTGGTGATTCTTTCGTGATAGTTGGAAGTCTCCTTCTCACTGCTTGATTCCCTCTTTTTCTTCTAAGGTAAAAGGAGAAGGGAAGGGTTATCGGAAGGGAAGAGATGTGTTGACATTGTGTTTATGATAATTGACAATCTGGAACAGGACATACATTACAAAGCGAATTGGGGAAGCGAAAAGGAAGGGGAATGTGTATCAGTGAATGAATGAAAACCCATCCTTTCTGTAAACTTAAATAAAATCACAATTTTAAAAAAAAAAGTGATGCAGGTCACACTCCAGGAACAAACCTTATATCTCATGAGGATTGTCACTTGATTAAGGCAGTTGAGTGTTACCCTAATCACCTTATAGCAGATCAAGGCTGACCACATGAGATCATATCAGTGGTGATTATATCCTTACAGAACTGCAAACCACTGAGAATCATAGTCCAGCCAAGCTTATGTTTTGGGACACAGTTCAATCCATGACACTTTCTATTACCTGCCCACCCACCAGCCTCTCTCCTCAGGTTTCCTGGACTGCCCCCTTGGCAGAGGTGGTGGGAGTGGGCATGCTGTGTGACCCTGCCCATCCTTTGCCCCAGGTGCCACGACCAGTGCCTGAGCTCACTGTTACTGTGCTTTGATAGTGTCCAGCCTGGGGGTCCATCCTTCAGCCCCTCCTCCCTGCCAGGTCAGTCTGCTGTTTGTCACCTCTTGGTGACATTTATAAAGGCTTCGCCTGTGAGCCTTGTTATTACGTCCCTTGGATGAAGATTTCAATTTCTTCCTCCAGCTCTGTGCCAAGTGGTCTTTCTCTCTTTTAAAAAAAAAATCACAGAATCTCCAGCAGATGTAGAAACAGGCACAGAGCAGCTAAGTAGCCTTCCATGAAGTGAATGTTTAAATGCAAGCTCTCCATAAGCAAGTGGTGTGGTTGAAAGAGCATGCACTTTGCAGGCAGATTGATCCAGTTTTAAATCCCCACCCCCTGCATTTAACTAGATGGCTTTGGGTAAATGAGATGTTCTGACCCTCAGTTTCCACATCTGTAGAACGGGCATAATGATCTTTATGAAATTAGATATGCAGATACATGCAAAGCAAAGCAAGCCAGCATCTAGGGGGTGCATTGTAAGTGGCCACCGATTGTTCTAGTTAGGAGTAAGAACAGCAGGTCTGTGTTAGGGAGGCGTGCAAGTCAGACTCCTCCAGGCTCATGTTGGCCCCAGCTGAGACAGCTTTATTCTATCTGAGCATTTTCTGAGTGATTGGACACAGCATCTTCAAAGTGTGGCTGTGTTGAGGAGGGGATGGACTAGGGAAGCAGCTATTAGGAAATGGGGTTCTGGTGGCCCCTTTTACCTTAAGTCTCAGAGTCCCTGTTGTACTGTCTGCCTTGTGCCCAGGCCTGAAATGCTCTGTTGTCCTCTCTCCTGAGTGACACTGCCCACTTCTGCTAGCCAAGCAGGACCCGAGATTCCTTCTCTGATTGTGCAGATGGCTTAGGCCTGTGTGTTCAGTAAGCCAGCCATGTGACCATTTAAAATGACATTAATTAAGATGAAACAAAGTTAAAATTAACTTCAGAGGATGAATGGAGAGGAGGAACTGAAGGAGAAAGAGGGAATTGCGCTGTTACATTGAGGAGACTGCAGTCAATGATGTGAAGCAAAACGTGTATAAATTGTTGAATGGAAAATGAATTTGCTCTGTAAACATTTATCAGACTGTCATGAAAAGGGGGAAAAAAGAAAAATTAGCATCTTTAGTTTTACTGCCTCTTTTTGAGTGCCCAGTAGCCACAGGAACAGTGCACATGTAGAATGTTCCTGTCATCATCACTCCCTCTATGCTGGGAGATGTGTGGCGGGCAGGGCTGAGAGCCCAGCTTCAGAACGAACCGGAATCATGGTCTGGCTTTGGGATCTTGGGGTGGATTCCTTGTTTCACCTGCAGAATGGGGAAGAAGCCAGAATCTACATCGTGGCGTCAGGTGGAAGGTGTGGTGAAGCGCTGAGCTCACGTGAGGTGCTCAGCCGTGTCAGGTCTCTCGTTCTCCGCCCGCCCCCTCCCCTGCACTGCTCTGCTCTCTTGCTCTGCTAAGGGCTTGGGCGTCACAAACTTCAAGTCTGTGTCTTGACAACAGTGGCCGCCGTCTTAGCCACTCTAAGGCTTCTTCTCTCTAGATGCAGTGGCAGCTTTCTTCCTTTGCCTGGACTTTTTTACATAAGCTTTTCATGTTGGAATAGTTGTGCATTTACAAAAAAGTCTTAAAGATACTATGTGGAGTTTATCCCTTGCCCAGTTTCCCCCCTATTGCTCATGTCTTACATGACCATTGGATAGTTGCAAAAACCAAGAAGCCAGTACTGGTCATAACTATGAAGACCCTGAGTGAGGTGGACTGACTCAGTAACTGGGGTAATGGGGGTAGGTGTATCAGAGACAATGAGACTGGCTCAGGACAGGGCAGCGTTCAGAGCTGTTGTACATAGGGTTGCTATGAGTCATAAGCTACTCGATGGCACGTAATGATAACAGGACCAATATTGAGGCGCTCTGGTGGCGTATTAGTAAGAAGCTGCACTGCAATCCCAGAGGCACTTGGTTCGATGCTACCAGCTGCTTCGCGGGAGAAAATGGGCAGTCTCCTGTCGTGTGATTAACGGCCTCTGAATACCTGCTGGAGGGTCCGCTGTGGGTCAGTTCTGACTCTACATTAACCAACAATAACAACATGAACCAAAGTCCAGACCTTGCTGAGATTTCACCAGTTTACTACTGATAGCCTTTTTTTGGTCAGGATGTCATCGAAGATCTCAGTTGTGTTTAGATATCATGTCTCTTTGGTGTCCTCTGCTCTGTGACAGTTGTTTGTTTGCCTTCGAGTGGAGCACGACTCATAGTGACCCTATGAACAAAAGGCCTAAAGACTTTCTATATCTATGGACATTTATCAAAGTTCATAGAGTTTCCAGAGGCGTGTTGTTTAGGAAGTGGATGCCACTCCTACTTCCAATCTGTGACAGTACGGGCTAGGTATTTTGTAGACATTTTTCTTAATCTTAGTGAATCTGCCATTTTCTCATGATGAGAAGGGTATGATGGATATTTTGGAAAGCAGACCACACGGGTGGTAGTGCTGGTGGTGGAAATGCCCCTTTCATCCCATTGCATCATGGAATATGTGATCCTTATAAGACCTCATGGGTGTGTTAACCTTCATACTTGGCTTAGTTGTTTCTCTGTTTTCCTCAACTGTGTTCTGTTCTTTGGAAGTTGTCACTAAGTCCAGTCCACTTTGGAGTTAGATGGAGAATGAAATTCTGCCTCTCACATGTGGTCATCTGCAGCTTTGCAAGTCCTGGTTCTCACACGAGGACCACGTGGGGATCCCCAGCTCCAGGGTCTCTTCACCTGTGGGAGGATGAAATGATGGGGATGGCTCTGCACGGAGGGAGGCCCGAGTCTTAGCACCATGAGCCCATCAGACCTTTGTGCTGCGGTGCATTTGCATTTCAGACCCTGAAGTACCTTCTAAAGATGAGGACACTAAGAGGAGAAGGGTCTAGTCCAAGGTCAGCCCAAGGAATGATGCGTAGAGCCCTGGGCCTCTCATGGGCCTGGTCCAAGGCCTTGTCCTACCAGTGTGGTGAGGAGCTGATGGGGGCTTCAAGAAGCCCACTGTCTGCTCCACTGCTGACTCAGAGCCTTTTCTCCACCCACAGGGAGCTGGCACTGGTGAGCAATGGGGACGCCGTGGATGTGGCCGTCCCTGGGGTGCGGCGCCCCAGCTGGAAGCGGAAGAGTTCCCATCGCAGTAAGTCCCTCCTTTGCCACCCACACTAGGTGTGAGCCCTACGACGGTGGTGCCAGCCTAAGGTCTGTCCTTCTCCAGGCAGGAGAGCTGCTGTGGACTCAGATGAGCATGGGGTGACCCCTCACCCCGGGAGGGCTGCTGTGTGTTTAGTACTGTCTAGCGGGGACCAGTCACCAACCAAGCATGAGAGTGGCTCCCATTTGGCTGCCAAGCTGTGGTAGATCACACACCTAACCTTTCATCTGGCCACACAGGAATTCCACTGCTGCTAGAGCGGGGGGTGGGCTGGCCCTGGGGGGGTATCCTGGTGACCAGTGTGAGGTCTCACTGACAGTAGAACTTAGACACGTAACTTGGTAGTTGTCACCCTTCATGGGAGTCCCAGGTGGGGAGATTGGAGGTCACAGAACTGAGATGAGGTTACTGGACATACAGAGGAGGGAGCAGGGGGTCCAGGCTCAGAGACTAGCTTGAGTGTACAAGAACTTAAAGTCCAGGGGAGGACTGGCCTCTGATGGAAGGGACCAGGCTGAATCTTAGCAGCTCCTCCAGGGGCCACGTAGAGAGTTTGGACATTATTCCAAAGGCAGGAAGGGGGTGAAGGGGGCTAGAGCCCAGAGAGGAGGTGCTGTAGCCATACAGGCTAGAGCTAAGGGGCGGTTGGAAGGCTGGTGGTGGGAAGGCTGGAACGAGAAGAGGGAGAGGTGGACAGACCTGGGAAGCAGAATGCAGGCGGGGATGAAGGGAAGAGAGATGCTAAGGGTAACCCTTGGATTGACCTTCCAGAGCCACAGGAACAAGGGGCACATCATAGAGATTCCAGGGCGAGGGGGTGAGGGGCAAGGCCTGTGGGGCAGTCAGGCCGTGATCAGGGACTCCCACTCCTACTCCCCAGGAGAGGACAGAGAGGAGCCACAGTTTGAAAAGGAGTGCCTTAAATTTTCCATCTGAGAAAGATCACCTCTTACCTGCTTGTGTGTGTTGTATACTGTTGAGTCGGAACCGACCCATAGCTGACCCTCCAGCGGGTTTTCAGAGGCAGTTAATCCCAAGGGAGGAGATTGCCCATCCGTCTCCCGAAAGGCAGCTGGTGGCCTCGAACCCCGCGTGCCTTCGGGATTGCAGTGCAGCTTCTTGCCACTAGGCCACCAGAGCTCACCACTATTAGGATATATATTCTTTCAGCTCCATCTGCCTGGTGGGATAAGTGCTTATCCACTTAACCTGTCACCAGCTAGGACCAGCTAGGACCCTCCTGGCTGAGATTTGGAGGAGAGACTTTTGTAACCCCAAACCCGATGTCCATCCTGGCTAGCGCCTCCCCCAGAACTCCTCCCCCACCCCACCTTACTCACTAGAGTTTCGGCCTCCAGGGATGCAGGCTGGACAGAGGCTGGCCTGCATCCCCTGAGGGCACTGGCTGGGGTCCTGTGGTTCAGCCGGCTGTGGGGATGCTGACACTGGCGCTGGCAGCTTGAGCGGCCCGGGTGCTGCGCTGCGGGCGGGCGGGCGCACCAGCTGGTGCAGCCCTGATGTCAGGCTGCAGCCGCCTCCGCCCCAGCTCAAGGCTGCTCCTGTGCTTCTCTCCCTCACTCCTAGTCGACCGGTTCACTTTCCCCGCCCTGGAAGAAGATGTGATTTATGACGACGTCCCCTGCGAGAACCTGGACGCCCATCAACCTGGTACGGTCCCTTTCCGTTCTCTCAGGAGCCACGGGGAGGGTCTTCTTCCAGTTCCTTCGCAGCCCCCGACTTGGACCAGTGCCCCTTTTCTAGCTTGTAAAAGCCACTGCAGTCACCCAGGGCCAGGCTGGTGAATGTGGAAGGAGTTGTCCAGATGGGCTGTCGAGGGGTCTGGACTCCGCGGGTCAGGGTCCTCCTTGCTGTGGATCCTCAGGCCGGCATTTCATCTGTCCAAACCTCAGCTCCTCCCTCCGGAAATGGGGCAATAGTCTGCATCCCAGGGCTGTTAGGGAAGTTGAACAGATGGCTGAGCCAGAAGAAGCCCCGCCCCTGCTCTTGGGGAGGACAGAGGAGGGCCTCAGGGTTGAGGAGACTGGTGGCCACAGAGGGGAGGGGAGGGGAGCTGGGAGGTCAGCCCCGCTGGAGAGGCGTCCCTGTGCTGGCCTGCGGGAGAGAGGAGAGATAGTGGCTGACGTGAACAGTCCCATCCCTGGTTGACACAGGCTAGGCGGCTAGCTTCCTATTTGTCTCAGGTAATCTGCTCGCAGATTTTGCCTTGGGGTTTGATATCCTCGTTTTACAAAGGCGCTGAGATTCGAGCCTGGGTCATTATGACCCCAGCACTGCCGAGCTCTGTCGCCCACCCTAGGAGGACTTGGAGGGGTCTCTGGGAAGACCATTTGCTCCCACTGTTCCACCAAACCTGTGAGGCAGCTAGGGCAGGGCCACGACTCCAGGGTCACATCAGAGAGGCCCAGCAGCTGGCTCCTGTCACAAGACAGGATGTGAACCACCACTGCTTTTACTACTGCGTGGTGTGACTGTTTTGGACACTCCATCAATGCAGGGAAGACACAGTTGTTCTCCTAGCCTTTGGGGGATAGCTATATTGACAGGCCAATGCTGTTTTTCTTCTGTTGACAAAGCTCACCGATCCCTGGGTTCAGATCCTGCCTCCGCCATTGGTCATTACACAAGGCTGTGGGTGTTTGGCCTTGACTTACTCAGATGAAGCATGTAACACACAGAACTTTGGGTAGGGTCACACCAGACAGCTGCAGGCCTCAGCTGGCGCATCTGTAACACTGGGGCAGTAATTGGGGCTGTGTCAGGGGTCTTTGCCAAGATCCCATAAGATAATTGCTATAGATCCCTGAGCATGTGGTGGTAAATGCTTTAGAAAGAATAGCTGTGATCATGAGCATCTGTGAAGTTCAAGGCACAAGGAAGCAGAGGGCAGGGCCCCTGTGAGTCTCCGAAGACTGATGAGCTGGTCCTGGGGTTCCGCCACCGAGTGAGCAAACCAGTGACGTCACCTCCACTGGAGGGAGCGTTTCCAAATGATCCCTGGGCCTGCGCACAGGGTGAATGTTAGGACAGTGAAGTGGACCCAGGAAGGCCTTGCCGGGAGTGAGCTGAGCATTGGTCTAGGAGTCTGCAGCCCTGTCTGGCGTGAGTCACATCTCTCCCCAGAGCCTCTCTTTTCCCACCTGTCTAATGGGAGGTAGTGGCATTTTGTGCCTTTCTGACACATGGGCTGCTGGGAGAATCCAGTAGGAAAGGTATGCACTGCAGGTGTAGGTGGACGACAGTGGGTGGCCTATCTCCGTGCAGTCTTGGGGAAGTAGACATCTCAGGCAACCCCGAGAAATGACCACAGGATATGGGACCTCCCTGCAGTAATAGGACAATCAGCTCAGCCTTCTTTTAAGGTCACACAGGCTGTTCACCAGCTGCTCCACTCCCTGAGGACATTAGCCATTATTATCTTTTGCTTAAAAATAACCTCTCTCTCTCTCTCTCCTATCCTGGATCTGGATCTGCAGATGAGCCCCAGTGGATCTGGCTTGTTCTTTGGCTGACAGTTTCCTTGCTGTCTCCCCTCGTGATAACCCCAGTGTTTCTGTCAGGTGGAGATGGGGGGGGGCTCTAGTGAGCATGTCAACACCTCACCCCCCAGTACTTCTAAGTACCCACATACCGATCAATGGCTCTTTTCTGAGTGCTCACCACGGGACAAACTCTTTCGCTCAAAGCTTTTTGTTCATACTTTATTTATGAGCTCTGCCAGCTTATTATTATCTCTGTTTTACAGAGAGGGCTCTGAGCCCAAAGCTCCCAGTCCTCCAGCACATGCCATTTCTGGGCATATTATTTTTTAAAACTTCTCTCATTGCCGTATGTATTCACAAGCCCGACCTCACTTTCCTGAGGTATTCTGTCCACTTCCAGGTAATAGGTGAGGAAACTGAAGTCAAGGGGCTTGAGGACTTGCCAGAGTCTCCCAGCCCTTCAGTGCTAGAGCTCTGACTGGGACCCCCACGTTCTGACCCTGGATCAGTGGCTTTTCCACCTCAGCTTGAGTTCACATCAACTCTGGCTTGACAAGAACCCCATGAGAGTCCCTGAGTCTCTTGGGGACTAATCCTCCAGACCGGTCATCCCCAAGTTTCAGTCAGAGGCATTTTTTATATGGGTTTTTCGGACAGAAAGGAAACATTCCGAGGGTTTGAGTGGATTCCGAGCTTGGTGCTCCACCTGCTGGCGCGTTGTGGATTGCAGTGAGGTCAAGCTGAGGGCCAAAGGCAGGACTTGACCCCCGGTCTTTTTTCCTTGTTTTTCCTCGGGGCGGGGGGGGGAAGCCAAAAAGATCCAGAATGAGCACTCAGATCTCAGCAAATGATGCTGATATCAGAAAGGAAGCTTGCAACCTGCTGCCCGACACACACACACGGATCCTGGTACTTCTCTGTGTTTTCTCTTGCAATCTCCACCCTGAGGTGGACGTTGCGTTGCCCTCACCTCTCTGATGTCCCAGGAAACAGAGCTGGAACCCCAGGGCCTGGCACTCCTTCTCAGCACCATGCCCACACCTGGGCCTGGGCTCTGAGGTTGAGCGTGAGCCTGGAAATCAGGCAGCTTGGCTTCAGCCTTGTCTCTTGGCCGGCAGGGGCGGAGAGGAACCTGTTGTATGAGGATGTGCACCGCGCCGGGCTGCCTCGCGAGGCCGAGGACCTAGGCTGGAGCTCCAGCGAGTTTGAGAGCTACAGCGAGGACTCGGGGGAGGAGGCCAAGCCCGAGGCAGAGCCCACTAAGCATCGAGTGTCCTTCCAGCCCAAGGTGAGGGAGACCAGGGGCATCGCTCAGCCTGAGACCATGCGGGGTAGGGGATGGGGGTGGTACATGGGTGAGGGCCAGGACTGAGACTCGTATTTAAACCAAACCCAAACCCACTGCGAAGGAGTCCATTCTGACTCGGAGGGTCTTGTAAGATAGAGTGGAACTGCCCCATAGCATTTCCAAAGCGATAGTCTGTGCAGAAGCTGACTGCCTCATCCTTCTCCCACAGAGCAGCTGGAGGGTTTGAACCAAGGATCTTTTGGTTGGCAGCTGAGAATTTTAGCCACTGTGTCACCAGGGCTCTCTATATTTGTGTCAGTGATTCCCAACAGTCTCATAAGAAAGTGAAGAAGCCCAGATGATCCCTAGACATGAACTGATCCACAGTGAGGCTGGTTGGCTAAGGAAAGCCCTAGACCGAGGTATGGTTAGTACTTGGCACCAGAACCCCCCCCTCAGCTCGTTCCTCTGGCAGACCCCATCAGTCACTCGTGGTGCTCTGTCCTGCTGGGCTCAGAATCCTTCTCAATGCAGGGCAGCCTGACCAGGCAATTAATGCTGGCTCAGTTAGAGGGAGTAGTTTGGTTTGGTCTCCCTGCTGTAAACACTGTACTCACAGACCAGTCTTCAGATACAGCCCCCTCTGCCCCTGGCTGCTGAAGCCACTGAGCCTGCTGGGCTAAGACAGCACTGCTGGGTGGCTTCTCCTCGTGCCCTTCAGAGTGCTGTCATGCACTTGGATTTTCTGGTGTTTCTCTCTGGGGTGGGGACCACACTGCCAGTTTCTTGGAGAGAGACACTGAAGTCCAGAGGAGTGTTTGCCTTGTTACTCTTTTGCTACGACATCCTTTACTCATCGTATACTGTCCTATAGAAGCCGCCAGAAGGTGGGTCCTGTCCATGATGAGATCCAAGAACGATGAGAGGCCCTACCTGACCAGAGACAACAGTGTCCCTAAGACACAGAGAGGCAAGAGAGCTCTTCCTATGGCCATTTCTGCCTGAAAACACGGCAGAAAAAAGAACAGGTCCCTCAGGGTCACCTCAGTTCTTATGGGTGAGGCCTCGCTTATGAGGGACTCTTTCTGAGTGCCTCCTGCCCATCTTGGAGGTCTAGGGAAATCCCATTTGAGATGCTGACCAAGGCTGCGACTACAGCCAGAGTTTTCAGCAAGTTTTCTTCCAACCAGTATGGACTCCCCAACCAGGGATGGACAACCTTCAGGGGAGCCAGAGGGTACTGAGCAGGTCCCTGCTGAGATTTTGACTTCCTCAGCACTGCACCTCCATGGGCTGGAAAACAGCCCTGATGTGAATGAAGCATTTATGATGCACCTACTAGGTGCCGAGTTTGCATCTTCCGATTATGTGTCACAGACACACGGAAGCAGGGAGACCTGACCCAGGCTCAGGGAACCTTCCTGATCCAGGAGGAGGGCCCGAAGATGAAAGAGTTTATTAAAAAAGTGAGAGAGCAGGGGAGCTCTGGTGGCCTAGTGTCAAGAACCTGCACTGCAATCCCAGAGGCACACAGTTCGAATCCACCAGATGCTCTGCCAGGGAAGGAGGGACAATCTCCTCCTGTACCAGTCAGATCTGATTTGACGGTACACACAAATAATAAAATATAAAAAAATATTTTTTTAAAAAAGAAGAGCCCAGCAATCTGCATGATGACCAGATAGGAGGGGTCCACTGGGCACTCAGAAATGCGGGGCTGGAGACCACCTGCAGCCTGGCTTCTGGGCTGTGTGACGCTCACACCCTTGCGCTGGACTTTGGACTCTTCTTCAGTGGACAGACATTGGGGCGGAGGTTTGGGATGTTGTCTCCAGGAAAGCCTCTTTTTCAGGCTGTGGCCCAAGCCCCCCACCTGCTCTCTCAACAGCAGACTTCCAGGGAGATAAGAGGTTGTGTGTGGGGGGTCTTTTCCTCTGGCATCTGCTTCTGCACAGGAAGCCCACTGAGCCCTGCCTTTGCCTTCTGAGCTGCTCAAGGTGCACCTGCCCCCTCCACCTGGTGCTGCAGGCTTGCTACTTCGGGGGCACCACTGCTTGGCTGTGTGTTGTGTGTGCTGTGGGGCAATTTGGTGTGAGGGTCTGGGGAAATGTTTTGTCTTGATGTTTTGTCAGATATGACCAACCTGAGGTGGTGAATTCTTGCCCAGCCAAGTGTTCAAGGGGTCTGTGGCGGACTTCCTGACCCAGAAGCACCTGGCTCAGGTGACTGCAGCCCCTCATCCTTTTGTGTTAACAAGTACCCTGATGTTTGCCACTCACAGCCCATAGGATTCCCCCCACACCCCCAGTATGGGAGCGGCTGCACTGAACTCTTCCCCTTTTTGACTGTGATCAAGGCCCCTGGGACCAAGCTGGCTGGGGTTGAGTAGAACCTGTGGATCCCTCCAGAAATGGCAGCTCAGCCTGTTCATTCCCTGCTCTGCTCTGCCCAGCCCAGCAATTGCCTTTTGACGCTAACATTTCTTAGTGCTTCTGACCCTCAGCAAGGGCCCGAAGGCTCTATGTTTCACTGTGTTGGTCTTAGTCTAAAATAGGACTCAGTCTGAACCCCAGACTCCCTCGTTTTCCAGATATCTGGACACCTCTTAGGATGATCCCAGCCTTGGCTTTTTTCCCCCTTTTTACATTAGTGTGGTATTTATTGATTTCAGCGTTGGCATTTTTTAAGGCATTAGAATAGTGAACATTTGTCTGATGTGGTATAGTTTACCATGTGATTTAGTTTAATGGTCTTAATTTCTGAAAAAGTTGGTATTATTGACATTGAGGTATTTTCTTGATGAAAGAACCTAGGTCACAAGTGTAGAGAGATTAAACTATGTGTTTTGGATCATGTAGCCAGTCACAGGTGGAGCTGGCTCTCAATATCACGTGTGAGATCAAAGAAATGATCTTTCCATTCAGCTCTCCATTTCCTATCTATCCATCCGTCCATCTACCCACTTATCCACCCACCCTCCATCCATCCATCCATCCACCCACATATCTACCCAACCATCCATCCATTAATCCATCCACCCATCCATCCATCCACCCACCCACCCACCCATCCATCCAT